CGAAATTCAAAACAAACAAACAAACTTTTTGTAACATGCTAAGTGATAATTTGCCACCTGCGCTTTCCATATTTAAAACATAGATTTGTCATAAAAATGTTTAAGTCCTAATAAAACGTTATAGATGGCGACCTTTGTATTATATTTCTAAGAAACAATAGACTGTATTAAACCTACATTAGTGAATTGTTCGTACTCGAGTAAATTCATCATTGGAAACATTTTTATATACAATTATGGTCTCAGAAACTCGATTTGATATTACCTCATAAAAATGCTATACAGACGAAAAGCATCTTTAGATTACTCTTTTGTTTGTACCGTTTCCTAGTGCAGAGAAACTGTTAATGGACCATTGAAACTGTATTTCTCCTCTTATGCAACAACAAAGACAAAAAACCAAAATCATCCTATTCTAACCCCATTCAACTCCAAATAATAAAACACCACACCTCCCTCATATCCATATAACCTAAAAATACCCACCAAAAAAGGTAAAGAAGCACACAACGTATAAAAAAAGTATATAAACCCCAGCCTGAAGACGTTCAGGCTGGCCCCCTCAACCAATAATCATTAATAGAGTAGGAATTAGCACCTTTTTTAGTTAAGCTTCCGATGTTCTTGCTTCATCTTTGATTACAAAGGGCTCATGTGGAGGCTCCTATCGCAGGGCCAATAGTATTAGCGTGGTATTATTAAAGTTAGGGGGTACGGGTTATTTCGAGTATTATGATTATTTCAGAGTTTTGTAAAGAATCAGGTGGGGGTGATTAGTGAGAGTTGGACTGATTGGGGGTTATTTACTAGATTTATTTGTATACGTCAGGTTGATTTGAAGTCTTTAATTGCTTATTCTTCTGTTGGTCATATAGGAATTGTTTTAGGGGGGTGTAATGACTTTAAGAAGATGGGGTGTGGGGAGGCTCTTCTATTAATAGTTGCTCACGGTCTGTGTTCTTCTGCATTGCTTTGTTTAGCAAATATTGTATATGAGCGTTTCTATTCTCGAATATTGGTATTATTAAAGGGGATGGTGAGATTGTTTCCTTCATTGGCTTTATGGTGATTTTTATTTTGTGTATTTAATATGGCGGCCCCTCCTTCAATAAATTTATTTGGTGAAATTTCTTTAATGGTAAGATTGGTGGGATGGAGAGAATGAACTGTGGTTCGATTAGGGTTGTTATCTTTTTATTTACAGCTTAATATTCTTTGTTTATGTTTCCTTCTACTCAACATGGAAAAGTTGGG